GCGAGGCTTTAATTTATTCCTGATCTCTTTATGAGAATGTTCGTAGTCGTATAGTATATATGCCAATAAGAACACCCAAATTATCATATTTGTTTATTAAAGCTTCATCCAATCCATTACCACTGCTTTTTTGTCCCATGAAAAGTGTACGACAGTCTTCTCATTTGACCCCTTTACTTTCTACTTTCTTCTTTTTTTTTTTTTTTTTTTTTTTTTTTTTTTTTTTTTTTTTTTTTTTTTTTTTTTTTTTTTTTTTTTTTTAATTTTTTTTTTAGGTTAATTTACATGAATGCGTTTGCACAGATAGAGTATTTTAAAGCAGTTTTGATGCATGGAAGTGACCAGAGAGAGAACTTGTGTGGCAAAGAGTCGAGGAAGAAACATGTGAAATTTTTTTCCTGTTGTTTTGTTTACCTGGATACCTGGAACTGTCATCTCTGGCTCGGAGGTTGACGGGTAATGATCTGCCATTGCTTGCGGGTCACTAGCTGCAGTCATACACTCTTTCATACACTGGCCAATCCATGCCTTGATGTTATTGGTCCCCATTTATGTTTATGGCGTGTGAAATGATGATTAGTCCGGGTGTCACTCATACTATGTCATCCTTACAAATTTTGTTTTAAAAAGTTTATGCTGCTCTTTTCTTTTCTTTTTTGTCCCCATGGGTCTTCTTTGGACTACCGTACCAAGGTTTGTTTAGGTATATTGTACAGAGAAGACTGAGTGAATGAGTGACGGCCAGCTTATGTAATGTAAGCACCAGAAGGCTGCTATGCACAATATCGCGAACCATTTAAAAAGGAACAGTATAATGGTCAGTCATATTATCATCTAATCTTTTTTCTCAGTAACACGAGTCATATTGTCATGTCACCATTTAGATTGTTACTTGCCCTAGTGTGTTTGATGAATGCATTGTTTACAGGGGGGGGGGGGGGCTCTGTGTGGATAGTCTTCTGTGAGGAATACCCATTGAAAATATATGTGCATTTTCAGAGAATTACGTTTGTGAAGTGTGTTGAGAATACCGTCAACGTTCTTTGTGAAATGTCGTCCATTGCAAGAATGCATCAGGAATCATATTATGTCCCAAAATAAAGTCATTTCTTTTATGATTTAAGTGTATGTGTATGTACGTTATAGCTGGTAGCTATATATATATGTATGTGCATAAAGCAATCTTATCTTTTGTTTTTGTTTTCAGCCTGTCTGTACACAATTGTGATTGACACTTTCTACTTGAGTGAGTTGATGGTTCTCTATGTCTGAATAAAACATGACTAATTGACTTCAAAACTTCTTCTGGTTTTTTCTTTGTTCTTTCTTATTATACAGTGGATGGTTGGCAGGTGCTCTGGTGTGGTTGCCTCTTCTTTACTATAAAACATCTATCGTTTTTATCTCCCCTTCTTTTTTATGTTTGTTACTCTCTTGTAACAGCTCTAATCTTCTGGCGCTGATATGGCCTTATGCAGTTGCGAGCACCGTAAGTCCTCTATTAAAACTAAAACTCTAATTATACGTCAAGGAGAGTTTTTCTTTTTGGTTGTCTGGAGTGTAACTGTTAGGCTCCTTGCTTTGCAGCAGTGCCACTGACTAAAGTGTCTTTATGCTATTCCCGAAGGGGGAACATTTCTCGTTTTTATGCACAGTAGAATTGTAAATGGGCTAATTCAACAATGTCATGCTCATAACTGTGCATGAACTACAACAGGAAACTGCTGCTTTTTCTTTCCTAATCCTTACTACGTTCCTCGTCATTTTCCTCTACTTCTTTTATATGTCTGTCACACTCTTGTGACCTGCTATTTCCGGGGTGCCTCGATAGTCGAAGCAGACCTTGTGCTGTTGAAGCTAGAGAGTTGAGCAGAGTTAGTCTGATTCCCTGTAAAGACTTCTCTATTGTTATTGACATCAACCCCTTGGCGCTGATATGACCTTATGCAGTTGCGAGCGCCGTAAAAATTCTACTAAATAAATTTTTTAAAATCTTTGCTCTTCTTGCAAAAGCTTTGGATTTGGTTACAGGGGTTGGGGGGGGGGGGGTATTTTCTCCAGTATCTCTGTCTTTCCCTCGGGGACATACTTGCTTAGACCAAGTTGGCTCTGACAGACAGTGCTGAAGGAACACTTTGTCAGTTCCTTTTTGATGGAAATTGTAGTATCACAGGACATATGCAGCCATGATAACAGCTCTCGATGGGTGGTTGGCGGGTGCTCTGGTGTGGTTTGCCCTTTTTTTCCCTGTCAGACATCTTTCGTCCTTAGCTCCCCTCCTGCTTTTTTGTGTTTGTTACTCTCTTGCAACCCCCTCTGCCTCTTGTCTTATTTAGTTTTAGTACTGGTAGAGGCTTTACGGCGCTCGCAACTGCAAGTGGTCATGACTCATATGAGCGTCAAGGGGTGGGTGTCTACAGATAAGTCCAAACGGGGAATCAGACTTACTCTGCTCACCTCTCTTGCCTCAACGGCATAAAGTCTGCTTCGACTGTCAAGGCACCCCGGAAATAGCAGTTCACAAGAGAGTGACAAACATACAAAAGGAGTAGAGGGAAAATGACGACAGTAAGGATGAGGAAAGAAAAAGCAGCAGTTCCCCTATGTTGTTCCGGCACAGTATGAGCATGACATTGATAAATCATCCCATTAACAATTTTACTGTGCATAAGAGCATACACTCATATGACCTTATTCAATAAGTTATTGTATTACAAGAGTAAAAAAAACTCTTACTTGAGGGCGGTTGGCGAGTGCTCTGGTGTGGTCTGCTCTTTCTTTGCTATCAAACATCTATCGTCCTTATCCACTATTTCCGGGGTGCCTTGATAGTCGAAGTAGACCTTTTGCTGTTGAAGCTAGAGAGGTGAGCAGAGAAAGTCTGATTCCCTGTAAAGACTTTTCTGTTGAGACCCACCCCTTGGCGCTCATATGACCTTATGCAGTTGTCTGATTCCCTGTAAAGACTTTTCTGTTGAGACCCACCCCTTGGCGCTCATATGACCTTATGCAGTTGTCTGATTCCCTGTAAAGACTTTTCTGTTGAGACCCACCCCTTGGCGCTCATATGACCTTATGCAGTTGTCTGATTCCCTGTAAAGACTTTTCTGTTGAGACCCACCCCTTGGCGCTCATATGACCTTATGCAGTTGTCTGATTCCCTGTAAAGACTTTTCTGTTGAGACCCACCCCTTGGCGCTCATATGACCTTATGCAGTTGTCTGATTCCCTGTAAAGACTTTTCTGTTGAGACCCACCCCTTGGCGATCATATGACCTTATGCAGTTGTCTGATTCCCTGTAAAGACTTTTCTGTTGAGATCCACCCCTTGGCGCTCATGTGACCTTATGCAGTTGTCTGATTCCCTGTAAAGACTTTTCTGTTGAGATCCACCCCTTGGCGCTCATGTGACCTTATGCAGTTGTCTGATTCCCTGTAAAGACTTTTCTGTTGAGACCCGCCCCTTGGCGATCATATGACCTTATGCAGTTGTCTGATTCCCTGTAAAGACGTTTCTGTTGAGACCCGCCCCTTGGCGATCATATGACCTTATGCAGTTGTCTGATTCCCTGTAAAGACTTTTCTGTTGAGACCCGCCCCTTGGCGATCATATGACCTTATGCAGTTGTCTGATTCCCTGTAAAGACTTTTCTGCTGAGACCCAAGCGCCGTGTAAAAAAACCCTCTACTATTTTTTTTAAAAAGGAATAAAGATCAAACAAGTTTAACAGTTTAAATATCTCGGATATATTATCAGCACATTCGATGCCAAATGTTCCATCGAAATAAAACAAAAAATCGCAATTGCTAAAGACAGCTTCAATAACAATCCTGAAAAATACAAACGTATCAGTCAGTGTATAAAATAAGGGTTCTCAAATGCTTTGTGCGGTGAGCAGCTCTTCTATACGGCTGTGAATGCTGGACAAGTACCAATGATTATGAAAATAACATAGAAGCACCATATGATTTCTTAGGAGACTTTTAGAAAATTTCATGGAAGGAAAAGAAAAGAAAAAAAAATACAAATACAATTACAATTGCAAACTGAAGAATCTTTGTGGAAGGAAACGAAATATACGATGGCATACTGAAAGAATTTTCGTGGAAGGAAAAGAAATATAGGGCCTACAACTGCATACTGAAAGAAGCTTCATGGAAGGAAAAGAAATTCGCTGCCGTATTGAAAGAAGCTCTTTCAGGCCGCTCATCATACATAAGAGTAAGAGCAATAAGGGAGCGGCAAATGCAGTTTCTGATTCTGAGACACTTGACTCGACGTGGTGCCCACTACGGGTGGGATCGGCCGATCGGCCCGATCGCCCGACTCGATCGCCTCAAAAACAAACGTGTTTGTTTTCAGTTCCAGGCGATCGAGTCGGGCGATCGGCCCGATCCAGCTGTAGTGGGCACCCCTTGGTTGTCGCTGGAGGAATAGACGTAAACGCAGAAATGTGACAGACTCAATCAAGAAAAACTTATTTGAATGAATGGATAATGGAGAAACAGCCGGTTATCCCCCAAACTGACCCACATCGGGTTTTATATGCCACAAAGGAACAACAACAGCAACAGCAGCATTCACGACCATAATAAAGACCAACAATCCGTCTCTTCTTTTTTTCGTTATTCCGCGGTAATACCTGTATGGCCAATAGCCAGGAGAAATATGTGAAAAACAATCAAATCTATCTTTCTTCACAGTATGTTTCGGGAAAATCCAGCCAGGTTAATGCTGTGTTTTTTTATTTCACGTTTGCAAATATGTTGATTGAAATGCATTCACGTATTATTTTTTGTAAAAAGTAAAATAATATATAAATTGTTGATGTTGAATTTCAATTTTGTTCGACCCGTATTGGCTTTGAATAAGCCTTCTTGGCCTACTAGGATAGAAAGCGTCCCTAGCGACCCCTATAGTGTCCTGGACGAATATCTGTATTCGGAAACCTCTTTTTAAAAATTAATGTTAAAGAGTTCTCATGTCTCGATTGATTTTAGGATTCTGTACAAGGCAAGCAGTTATGAACACAAAGCTATAATGTCTAGAGAAAAGTACAATTAGCATTGATGAATGTTCTACATCAGCTGAGATTGTTTTTGTTTACTTTCTATTTTGTTTAAAGAGGGTTTGCGAATGATCTTTGGCACAATGCCCAATGCACAATTTTGTGCCCAAGTACTAGTAGTATCGATATAGAACTCTTTTCGATCACCCCGAAATAGATCTTGTTCTATTCTGGAAGAGGTGTCTGCTGTAGATCTGGGATCAGTCTAACTAAATGTGTTGTGGAGTTGCAACATTTGGGCACACGATATCAACACAGAATGTCTCAGGCCAGGATAACAGCGTACATGGAGAAGCATCGAATCGGTGCCTTGTTCGAGGTAAGATGTTATTCCTGTTAGTTGACATCACTAGCCTTACTTTGAGCTGCAACCATCAGCTGTGCGTTAGTCTTCAAGCTGCAGCTTGTTTACATGAAGAGAGTGGTCCCTGTACACTAGATCTAGATCTAGAGATCTAAAGCAGGGGACACTGTTCGTCAGATTGAAAAAAAAAATGTAGGCTACAATTAGGCACATGTTGCAAAATTGTTGTGTTAAGAATTTCGACGCCCTTTCACGATGACTTTATTATTGTGTACCTGTTTTAATTTTCTCCCACCCATGACTATGACAACAGTGTATGTAGATTTAGATCTAGATTCTAGATCTAGATTCTAGATCTAGTTATCTAATCATTGTAAGGTGGGGTGAATGGTAAGGAGTTTTCCCATAAAAATAAGTGAGTGTATATATATATACAGACCCGGTACCCGGGAACAAAGTCACAAAGTCCAAATATGCAGACCCAGTATAAGTTGCACGAGTTTAAGCAAAAAATTCTTGTTTGTTTAATGGTAATAACTCTATAGTTTTAAATTCATTCTAATGCTTTATCATGTGACTATCTGTACACATCATTTTAGAATGTTAGTCTACGATTCACTTCCTTCATGTCTGTTCAGGTTGAAAAACATAAAATATACCCTACAATATTTCTGCTTGTAAAAAGTGCCATAATGTCTGTCAGAAAATGATAGAAGGTGTGAGCGTTTGGACTGTTCCAGGCTGGAATAACACAGCGAGACAAGACCGACAAGTCCTCTGCGTTCATTTCCAGACCAGATTAAATTGCGTCCTTCATCATTGTGGTACGTGATTTTTTTGGATAAAGAACAATCTCAGCGGGAAATGACCAAGTCCCAATCTGAATTTGAGCAATAGCTAGAAGGAATGTAATATAGCTGCAGATTCCCTCAGCAGTTTATCCAAGAATTTATCTTTTCCATGCGCCAACGGTGTCCGTCAGTCATCAGTGTGACAAGTGGCCTCACACGGTAGTGATTTTGTGAATTTGGAAATTGGAGGGCTCCATTTGTGATGGATATTTTTGCACAAAAAATAAACACTTCAAGTAAAATTATTATCTGATGTGTGTCGTCTAGAAAAGGGGTGAATACTTCAAGGAAAATTGGTTTGCAAGTACAATATTTGATTTCTGTTCACACTTTCTTTTTTCTCTGTGTATATTTGTTGAGTCCTTGAACTTTTGCTGTTTCTAGGATCTGATGAACAGAACATTGAGAGACATGCCAGAGGAGCCTATGATCTATTTACTGAGGGCGATGTACAAGAAAGCTGGCATGGAAATCCCACAGGTATTCTTTTTTCTGTTCTTGAAACCAATTTCCTGATATTTTTCAACAGTCAGGATTATTACCTTTTATCGTATAATAGAAAGTTGTTCTATCACGGTGTAAATGCTAACTCAATAGAGGAAGCAAAGACTGATCTTTTAATTTGCTGATGCAGAAAAATGTGTGTCTGGGAGAGGGATGAAAACGGAATAGAGTATGTTCATAGCTGGAAACCAGTACTTTAAAAACATTTATGGGGATCTGAATACAGAAGTCCTTTTTTATGTCAGAAAATAGGTTGTATTCTCTTTTTTTCTTGTATTGCTCTTCACAGACTTTCCAATGCTGAAGAAAAGTTATGACCTTTCAAGACCAGATTTGCAGATGATAATAATGAGAGTTAAGCCCAAGTAAATTGAAGAGATCTTTACTAACAATTTCTGATATCATTTTTACAGGTCTGATTTAACTAGCTTGAATTTATTGAGTGCAGAAAACTGAGTGGGAAGGTGAAGGTTTTGGACGGGTGGAAATTATTTGTATCCTGACCCTCTGTGTGGGTGGGTAGAGTCTGTATTTTGGTTTTGAAAAGTTGGCAGCCATATATTATTATAATATATTATGTGCCAAACATTGGCTTGGGAAGATTGTTGTGATGTTGTGATAATTATTATTGAACAACACTTTGGCTAGTGGCCTTCAGCTCAGTGGCATGCTGTCTGCTGTAAAAATCTCCTCCAGTTGTTCACTATTCCTGTATTTATAGGCTCTTGTCTTCGTAGTGGATAGAAAGAAGAAAGGGAAAATATTTAAAACATTTAAATTATATAACATGTTTCTCTACGCTTTTGAGGCAAAGATTAAAACGGATTATAAGGTAAGATGTAATTATAAGGTTATTTATATGATTCAATCACATGCAAATGGAAATATTGATGTGAATTAATTCCCCTTTTTTCACCCCCAGGGTATCCGTTATGGAGGTCTCCGCAAATCCACGTCAGAACTGACCCGTAGCTCCAGCCCTGAGAGAGCCTCACGGTTTGCACAAGTGTCAAGTTCTGAAACTGCTGGTAAAGAAATCTTTTTTTTCAAAGATCCGAAATATCAGAGAGAAGAGAATCTGGTGCATGTGTCCATGTAATACAAAATGTCTATTCAGTCTCTACTTGGAAGTCACATGTTTTTGTTTAATCTTACATTCTTTCTAACGTTAACTTTTACCTTGAAACAAATTAATACCAATCCTTTCACCTACAGGGAACCATTTTTGTAGATGGTTGTTAAGGTTATGCAGTATAGAACAATTTTTCTGGATTATGTATGCTTGGACTAATTTGATACATGTACATGACAGTTATCATGAATGTCTTACGTTTTTCTCACTACAAACGAATTTTGGTGCTTGAAGAGATAACTGTATAAAATGATGATTTTAAAAATCACTTCTCTGGCGCCCACTCCTAGAGTGGCTCTGGGCACTTCACGACGAAATAAGATTTAAATCAGCATTGATTCATCTTTACGCCCTATTCCGTATAAAACAATCCTTTCGTAATGCAAATTTCAAACGTAGATGAATAAAGTCATCTTTCCTTTTACACTTTTCTAGATGTGGGTGCATCGAGAGATTACGACCGGCCTTGGGCAACATCTCCAGTGCGTCGTGTGAAACCCAAAAAGCCAGAGACCACTGCAGGTATGTCACTAGTGTGATGAGATTAGTTTAGTAGAGTTTTTACGGGGCTTGCAACTGCTTAAAGTCATATGACCACCAAGGGGTGGATGTCAATAGAGAAGTCCATACAGGGAATCAGGCTTACTCTGCTCACCTCTCTAGCTTCAACAAAACAAAGTCTGCTTCGACTATCAAGGCACTCCAGAAGTAGCGGATCACAAGAGTGTGACAAACATACACAAGAAGTAAAGGAAAAATGATGATAGTAAGGATTAGGAAAGAAAAGGCAGCAGCTCCCCGTTGCAGTTAAGGCACAGTTATGAGCATGATATTGATGAATCAGCCCATTTACAATTCTACTGCGCATAAGAACATGTTAATGTCCCCCCTTTTGGAATGGCCTAAAGACACTTCAGTCAGTCGCACCGCCCGGGGAGTATGTGATGAGATTGAGGAGTAAATACAGTGGAAACTGTCTGTCTAAGACGGCCCCACATTGTGGAGGAGAAAAGTGTCCGTGTCAGACAGGAGGCCTCTTACACAGCGTCTACATAACGTAAAAAATATTCAAGGAAGGAAATGAGAAGAAGCTGCTCATACAAGTGATTGAATTGTACAGTGGCTGTTAGAGCAGGTTCGACTATATTACGGGTTTTTGTGTAGATTAATGGAGATTTTTTTTTTTTTTTTTTAAACTTGATTAGTTCACACTGGGAGATTTTTTTCACAATGACACTCAGGCTACAGCAAGTGTACTCAACAAAGACAAATATTTTAGAAATATTGGTTTGGCATCTTAGTCCAGTTCCATTTTTGAGATATGGTTCTCAGGTCTTGCTTAAGGACAGACTGCAGTATTCACATATCCGAAAGCTGTACTCACCAACATTTCTTGGCATTCTCGATGTCCATGTGTTTATTGACCGTTCAACCGAAGAAAATGCAAGTTGGTTAGCAGATTGATGATTAAAAATGTAAACTAAATGAGGAGAGTAATGGAAGAGTGAAATAAAAGACAGTGGGAGGTGATAAGAAAGACTTAAGTTTAGGTCCTCCCTCATCAAAATAATTTTTGCTCACCAACTATTTTTGTTTTCTGGTGAAATATAACAAGCCTAAAACTTATATATTTAAAATCATGTCCTTGTTCAGTTTCCGAATCAGGTTTAACTTATGAGTTTCAATGCTGGGTTTTTTTTTCGATTTCCAGGATCCAAACCTGAATGGAACGCAGACAACAAAATGAGGGTATCGGCGTTGGATGAGTTTTGGGCTGATGCTGAGACTGGAAAGAAGGAAAAATCTGGTGTAACAGCTTCTCGCAAGTCTGCAGTGAAAAAGTCTGGGACATCAGCGAGTGCCTGGGCCTCTGTGGGGCTGAAGGTTTGTCTTCCTTGCTATCTGGGCTGATATTGGTGGGCTGTTTTCTGACATGAGTAGACAGCAAAAGATCTGGTCAGTTTGTTACCTTGGAAAAGTTTGCCCAAGTTTTGGTAAAGATATTTGTCAGACGAATTTTGGAAAAGACTCAAGTTGTGAAGGATGTTGCTATTCCTTTAGAAGCACTGTGTCGGTTCATAATTTTTATCTTTGACCAAAATGTTATAAGAACGTTTAGCACACTCATCTTGGAACCGTATACTCTACATCATCACCAACTTATTTATCAATATTATTATTGTCAGGTTATACTGTACTGTTAAATCTGCTCCAACTACCTCTTGTACAAGGCAATCACCTGTACAATGTACAAGGCAGTCACTCACATAACAATGTACAAGGCAATCACCTGTACAATGTACAAGGCAGTCACCTGTACAATGTACAAGGCAGTCACCTGTACAATGTACAAGGCAGTCACCTGTACAATGTACAAGGCAGTCACCTGTACAATGTACAAGGCAGTCACCTGTACAATGTACAAGGCAGTCACCTGTACAATGTACAAGGCAGTCACCTGTACAATGTACAAGGCAGTCACTCACATAACAATGTACAAGGCAATCACCTGTACAATGTACAAGGCAGTCACCTGTACAATGTACAAGGCAGTCACCTGTACAATGTACAAGGCAGTCACCTGTACAATGTACAAGGCAGTCACCTGTACAATGTACAAGGCAGTCACCTGTACAATGTACAAGGCAGTCACCTGTACAATGTACAAGGCAATCACCTGTACAATGTACAAGGCAGTCACCTGTACAATGTACAAGGCAATCACCTGTACAATGTACAAGGCAGTCACCTGTACAATGTACAAGGCAGTCACCTGTACAAATGACCACTTTCCACTTCCCCCCTTTGCATAATGACTCTGTTAACTCTTATCCTGCGTCTGTGCCCAGATGCGTATCTTATCAGCAACCGATTACGTCGGACGTGCCGGGCAGGCAGCCGGGGTCTCTCAGTGTGTATTGTTGGTGTACAGCGCGTGCGCCGGGAAACGTGTGTTTTCACCATGAATACCGCGGGAGTGTGTTAACCGATGATGAAAATAACGCTCTATCCTTCATAGCTTTCTATTTATAAAGTGTTACAAACACATGAATAACCCCCTCTCACAAGCTGATAACATTACGAGTAGTTACGCCCATTCAAATAACCTTTCTGGACGCTCTTGTTGTTATGAATGACCTGAGGTTCGAAAGGGGATAATTTAGGTCAATTTCCGAATGTTTCACTCTCAAATTGTTCTTTGTACCTGCACAATGGTATTCAAAACTATCAAACAAGCTTATTTTTTATCAGGTAGTATCATTTCATACAAAATCAAGCTCATTTGAAATATTTTGTATAGAAAAATGGAAGTCTTGTTTCCTGACTATCCTTTCGAGCTCCTCATGTCTAAGTGGGTCAATTTCTTCCATAATTTCATTGGACGAACATCTAGAGCTACCAACTTGGCATGTTTTGAATGAGACGTATGCCTCGATTACAAACCAACGCAGGCAGTTCTAGAAGAAGGCCACAAACGCACACAAACTCAAGCAGACTGACGCACACACACTTGACCTGCGTGAATGGGGATCCGACTCGGGACCCGAATGACAGGTAAGAGGCTGCGCGTGCGCTGAGCCAGGAGCTACACTGATTCGGGACCAGAACGTAGGCGAGGTGCCGAAATAGGCTTATCGGGCTACATAAACACGGCTCCCGCAGGATGAGGGTTAATCCATTTGTGACACAGGGTTAGTTCGTGCTTCTTAATATTAATAATAGAGAGCATTTGTATTCTGCACATCCCTGCTCTACAGCTGTAATGTCAGGGGACATGACTCTTATTATTATTATGGGACAGTATAATTAAGGGGGTAGCGTGCCCTTGGATGACATCACATTTAGAAGCGGGAAATAGGCCGACAACGTCTGCCAGAGACAAAGTGAGAATTAGTCGGAGCACAGGACGACGAGAAGACAACATCGATCCTGGACGGGGGCCCCCTGAAAGACCAGGACCCTAGGACCGCCAGGTAACTTTACAAACAGCAAGCTCTATGCGCTTCACAATCTATAGGCTACTATTACCCCAGCAGACCTGAGAGCATTCTGAAACAACCTCAACTTCCTGAGAAGCATACAGTGCAAGCAGCCGTTTATAGGCGCTAAAACACTAACATACTGACAAGATCTTTAGCTGTCCATTTCCATCAAGCACAGTTTTGGATCACTAGGGATACAGAGTAGCGCTAGATTTAGTGGTCAGTTTCCTATAAATAGAACCGCTTTGCAGATACTTCTAACTGTGTCTAAAAGGACAAGATTTTTCTGTACAAACCAAAATATTCCCGAATGTGAATCTGCGATTAGTTTTACGAAATGCATCTAATAGAAGCAGTATGCAGAAACAACCTATGATGAAAGGCGTTTGTCATCATGGTCCTCGGGCTTCACAAGGAATGACGTCGCAGGAGCATCTTGGCTCACGAACCTCGTAAGAAATGATAACGAACAGTCTACGTCATATAGGTCACGGATGAGTGAAGAGGATTATCTATCAAAGATGACCATTTTTTCCATTGACAATGGGTGGTCATCTTGGACAAGTTTGGTCATCTTGGACAAGTTTGGCTGTATTTTTGCAAACCTGGTCTTTACCTGTCTTTAACTTGACACTCTAGAATGGGAGACAATCATTGTGGAAAATTTGTTTCACACACTGAAAAAACTTCTATCGAGCAGCATTGTGAAAGCCAACCATTTATTTTTTTTTAAAAATCTGAGCACATGTTAATAATAATAATAATTATAATAGCGATGATAATAATAATAAATAGCATTTGTATAGCTTATATATCCCTGCTCGACAACTATTTTATTACCCTAGAAGACCATGGAACACTCAGAAATGTTCTCAGCGTCCCGGGAAGTATACAGTGCAATCAGCTGATTAAGTGCTCAAACACTAATAAACTGACAAGATCTTTCACTGTCTGTAGCTGGGTACCCATGTGAAGTGAGGAAAATTTGTGTAAAGTGCCTTTCCCAAGGACTCAATGTCAGTGCCTCTAGCGGGGTTCGAACCCACGACCTTACGGTTGCGAGTCTGAGAGCCTAACCACTAGGCCACCGATGCCAGACTGTTCTCAATATGTATATATAATACATCTCTTACAGGAAGGAGAGGAGTTCACGAGTCCAGCATACCAAGGGCGCGGACAAAGCCATCGGAACAGGAAGTTGACAGAGGCTGAGCTGCTTGCTGCGGAGACTGTGGCACAGTCTGGGAGAATTGAGCCGCAGATCGATGTGTCCACGCTGTCCAGTGCTAGAGGGTGGGTTTTCTCTGGACTTGAAGTTTGTCTATACAAGTTTTGAACATTTAAATATGGTGTGATATTGAAGTCATTTGTCTTGACTCTTGAGGGCCAGAGAATATACTATATATATATGTATAATAATAGTGGGTGGTTGGCGGGTGCTCTGGTCTTGTTTGCTGCTTCTTCTGTCTTATCAAACACCTGTCGTCCTTATCTAACACCTATCGTCCTTATCTCCCTTTCTTCTTTTTTATGTTTGTTACTCTCTTCTAACGCCTCTAATCTTCTGGCGTTCATATGACCTTATGCAGTTGCGAGCGCCGTAAAACCTCTACTAAAACAAACATACATGTAATATCCTGGCTTATCAGTACTTTGGGGCCTTGGGCAGTATTTACTATTACTACAGTATAACATGGATAGCTTGAATTCTTTAGGAACGACCTCAGCAGTTCGAGGGATCAGTAGTTCGAGGGATATCTTACAAAGATAAAGAGGGAAAAAAAACAGGACCGCAGGCACGGTTCAATGGATGCGTGATTTCAAGTCTACTGTGTTGAACCTATCTGTGTTATACTGTATTGTAATATTAAGTCTTTCTTTTTAGGAGTTGAAAGGAATGTGACGTAGGAAGGTTCTATTTTTGATCAAATTGCTATACGAAGACTTCCCTTTTATTTCACTCAATAGCATATACAGCAAATAAAATAGCAAATTAAAACACTTGATAGCTTCAAAAGACATCTTAAACATTTTCTGTTCCTACAGGCCTATCCTTCATAAGCTTTTAACGTTATTTTTCATTATAGTTGTTCTGTTCCTGTGTCTGGATGAATATAGTCTGTGTGTGTGTATGTGTGTGTGTGCGTGTGTGTGTGTGTGTGTGTGTGTGTGTGTGTGTGTGTGTGTGTGTGTTTGTGTGTATGTGTGTGTGCATTAATATATATTGCATGAGAAGAAAGGAAGTAGTAAGAAAGGTTTTGAAAAATGGGTATTCCGATGTAAAGCGCATTGAGCTACTTTTTTGGAAATGCGCTATATAAATGTTATATATTATTATATATTATTACAATATTACATAACTCAAAGGCATTTTCCAACATAAGATGTAATGTCTATTGCTTCTAGCAGGGCTGGAAACTATTGAATTTGATTTTCAAGACAAACAGTTTTGGGTTTTTTTATTAGTTATCAACTCCCCATGGGCCACATTCATTGCTAATGACTGGGTTGTCTCACTGGCCACACTGAAACTGCTTGCAACAAGAGTGTGTTTTGCCCATAATTGGTCTAGCACATAGTCTTCCTTGATAAGAACAAAAGATTTGAGAAATGTATTCCATGTGCTTGTCAAAGGCACTTTAACTGTTGGAAGTCGAAGCATGCTAGGCCGGGAGAAACTGTCCACCTGGACAACATTCTACCTGAATTTCAACCAGAACTTAAACCCTTTTCGTACGCCCTGGGGTAATTTTACACCCCCAGGGTTGTATTCTTCACATTTTAGAATACTTTTGGTACGAAAATCTCTTTGAAACTTTCAGTATTTCTCAAAAAATAATTTCAACAGACTGCTACGCAAAGCGTACAGATCGGATTAACGAGTAAATTTCCTCTTTGAAAGTGGTGGCACAGAGTTCCCCACGTCATATGGATACGATAGTAAAACACGACGTACGGATAGGGTTAAGTGGTGGCACAGAGTTCCCCACGTTGTATGGATATGATAGTAAAACACGGCGTACGGATAGGGTTAAGTGGTGGCACAGAGTTCCCCACGTTGTATGGATACGATAGTAAAACACGACGAACAGATAGAGTTAAACAACTTTGGTCAGTACCAATGATTGAGTGAGCTTTCAAAGACCATGACATAGCACTTAGTTAAGCTGTTTGTTTAAGAACCTACTGTCGCCTGCCTGTATAGTCTGGTAAGGGGGTGCTGTAGAAGTAGAAGGAGAAAGAAAATTCTTGAAGAATATGAAATATTTTTCTTCCTTTAACCCCTTCATGACGTGTGGTTTTTCCAACTTTTAGTTTTAGTGCACCCAATTTTCCGGTAAAATTCCGTTCATGGCTATTGTAGTGCAGTTATAAAAACCCTGTACAGTGTACGTAGTAAGGTCCATGCGATTGCTGTAATCGGAAGATTTTAGGATGTACATTGTATGGGAGGAAGCCATCTTGGCACACAATGTTGGACGTTCGGTGTACGGGAATTGTCACAAAGGGGTTAAGTTATCGGTAAATTAATGCATAATTTTGTAACCCCTAATGAAATGATGAAATGATACAGAGAGAGTTTACTGTTTCTTTTTTTTTATTGCTTTGCTTTCTATGTTTTAATTCATAACAATACTGGAGATTTTCGTGTTTCATTAACTCTCCAATTCATGTCCTGTTTTTCGGGATTTCAGCCATCATGTCGGAGGTCCAAAGTACGATGGACGAAGACATCGTGAGAAATTGTCCCAGCTGCTCTCGGAGGCAGAGACAAAATCATACGACTCGGGAATCGATATGGACCCGCGGCACGGGGATACTGGTTATGATGCCATCGAGCTTCTAGGTGAGTAAAGTCTGTCAGATTCCATAGAAATTCTTGTTGAGTAAAGTCTGTCAGATTCCACTGAAATTCTTGTTTAGTAAAGTCTGTCAGATTCCATAGAAATTCTTGTTGAGTAAAGTCTGTCAGGTTCCATAGAAATTCTTGGTGAGTAAAGTCTGTCAGAACATAGACCTTCTTGGTGAGTAAAGTCTGTCAGACCATAGACCTTCTTGGTGAGTAAAGTCTGTCAGACCATAGACCTTCTTCCTGAGTAAAGTCTGTCAGACCATAGAGCTTCCTGTTGAGTAAAGTCTGTCAGGTTCCATTGAGCTTACTGGTGAGTAAAGTCTGTCAGGTTCCATAGAAATTTTTGGTGAGTAAAGTCTGTCAGGTTCCATAGAAATTCTTGGTGAGTAAAGTCTGTCAGGTTCCCCAGAGACGTGAAGTTCTACTGGCAAAATATAAGAGGGAGATAGGCTTTTGTTTCCTGTCTTAGACAGGTGAACATCTTACTCAGTGTCGTTGTAATGTTTTTTTAAAACAACCCCCCCCCCGAAAAACAAAGCAACCAAGAAAGAAGCGGGACTTTGTCCTTTGTACAGGGGAATGTCTTATGTTATACATGTGGCCATTAGAGCATGTTGGACTGTATTTTACTTTTCATGTGGAAAATATGAAGACCATACTCCGAGTGAAGACAGAACATGTTGGAAAATATGCACAGGATCATCAGTTCTTCATCATAGAAAATTTAAAAAGCCTACTTTGATGAAATTCTTAAAGTAAAAGTTATTTGCTGTAGTGAAACTCCTATTCTTAAATTTATGGTTCAGTATCTGTCATGAAGCATTTTTATTGTTGTTGTTATAATTATTATGTGAAAATGATTTTGTTCTGTATTCCATGTTTCCATCTGTAGAGAACGCTGAAGACTTGAGAAGAGAAGGCGTGGCCAACGTTCCCCGGTCCGGCTACAAGCTCAGCAAGGTAGGCGTGTCTGTCCCTGTCGTTTTATGCCAGAAAAATTCTGAAATTATGCAAACTGAGCCCAAAAATGTGAAATCATGCGATTCTGTTAATTTTAACAAAGAAAGATAAAGGAAAATAATAAGAAATTATGCCCAAAATGATCAAATTTTGCCAAATTATGCGGGGTGCATAAAACCAGTGGGACAGATGTGTTGTTGTGGGTGGTTGGCGGATGCTCTGGCGTGGTTTGCTCCTTCTTTCCTACCAAACATCTATAGTCCTTATTTCTCCTCCTCCATTTATTTTTATGTTACTATCTAGTAATACCTCTAATATTTAGCACTTATTTGAGCTAATTGTGTTGCGAGTGCCATTGAACTCTGATGAGAACTAAAATAAAGTTTATTGTTGGGGTTCTGGTTTTTTTTAAAATAATTTTATTTTGTCTCACGTCCTGATCCATCACCTCCTTTCCACACCAATTTTGAGATCATGCAGCGGCAGATATATACCACCAAGAACCAATAAAGGAAGGTGCAGTAAAAGTTTCCTACCATCTGCGATACAGCTGCTGTTGACTTTTTAATCTATGCACATAATGTATTTTATTGAAATTCTTTTATGAAAGTGATATGCAATGTAAATTCTATCTACACGTGTTTTACCCCATTTCTGTACAGCCATAGGAAATTTCCCACATGGACAATAATGTATTATCTTATCTTATCTTAGCTTAGCTTATCTTGTCTCGTCTTGTCTTGACTCTTCTTATCTTATCTTACCTCGTCTCCTCTCATCTTGTCTTGTCTTGTCTTGTCTTATCTTATCTTATCTTATCTTGTCTCGTCTTGTCTCGTCTTGTCTTGACTTATCTTGTCTTATCTTATCTTATCTTATTTTATCTATCTCTCTCTACTTCCAGGCTGTTCGCTATCGCACGAATGAACCCAGAGTAAAGCTGCAGATAAAGTAAGTATCTCTCAAGTGCTTTCTTTGTGGGTGGTAAAGTCATTAATATGTTCGTTTTGTTTTTTCTCATCTTTCTGTAATTATTGTTGGTTATTGCTGTTGTGTTTTCTGATCCAGCAACATCTGGGACCTTGCCCTGTGGTCTGATGTCATAAAGTGCTGTACATATGTTTTGAAATAATAATAATAATAATAATAAATAGTATTTGTATAGCGCATATCCCCGCTCAACAGCAGGCTCTATGCGCTTTACACTATATTATTACCCCAGAACATAGAACACTTCAAGGGGCTCTCGTGGCCAAGAGGTTAAGGTGTTGGCCTCTCATTCAAAGGTCCCGGGTTCGAATCCGGATAGCGACCGAAAAATTTTCTTCTCCAAAATTGTCTCCTTTCTCCTCCTTTCCTGCTCTCTAGCAATATTCTTTTGTCTGCTTTCGTCTCCTCTTTCTGCCCCCCACCCCCTCACCTCCTTTTCCCCCTCTGGGCTCCTGACTCTTTCTGCAGCCTTTCTACTGCTACTCCTTGACTCCTTCTTACAGCTGTCTTTCTGCCACACCCCTGATCTTCTGGTAGGAAAGATCTACTCCTAGCCTTCTCGGACAAGGGCGAAAAATCTTGAAGGGCCCGTGTGCAAGTTGCGCATGTTAAAGATCCCTTGGTGGTCTAAAATCGATAAGAGTAGGCTTCGGCCGCCACCCGGGCAAAATTGAAAATTTCCTACCAACTAAAAGTATTAGGTGTGTCCCGCGCGCTCATATGACCTTATGCAGTTGCGGGCGCCGTAAAACACTTTACCAAAAAAAAAGTCATTTTTGTCTTATTGCATCAAGTGTTGTCTTTGTTTTTGGTTTCAGAAGGTAAAGGGTTGCTCTGATATTGTTTAGTGTTATGTAGTTAAAAAGTTGCTTTTTCATCGTCTCATTGAGGTATTGGTGTGCATTTAATGAGTGGTATGTATTTGGGACTTTTGAATCAACATGAAGGTTTTGAACGTCTTGCTCTTACTGGGAAAATAGAAGGCGAACGAGGCATTAGTTATTTTGAGGTTCAGCTTCACATAGATAAAGTGTTATGGTGCTCACTACTGCATAAGATCATATTATGAGTGGGTGGTTTTTCTGAGAGCATCCGAGCAAAGAAATGAATGGAGAACCACCTCTGTTTCAGATGTGGCACTTTATGATGATGATGATGATGTATTTGGGAGATAATGTTGTTGAAATCCGTGGAGGTAGAAATTTAACTGAATATGTGGTGCACGTAGGCTTTGAATGGAATAAATAAGGGCTTAATAGCCAGCTAAATGTTTGTACCTACAAGTTAGTAAATATCTGAGTGCCTGTCAGGAAATAATAGTAATAGTAATAGATAGCACTTGTATAGCACATATTCCTACTTAACAGCAAGCTCAATGCGCTTTACCATCTATATTACTTCTCCTGCAGTCCTTTGAATTTTCAGAAATAATCTCAAGTTCCAGGGAAACGTACAATACAAGCAGCCAATTAAATGCTCAAACACTTATGAACTGACAATTGATAAGATCTTTAACTGTCTATTGTCAAGTCCCGTTTGTAAGGAAGTAAGGAAAATTCATGTAAAGTGTTTTTTCCCAAGGATACAACTTCGGGACTGCGACAGGGTTTGAACCCACGACCTTTCAGTTGTGAGCGGAGTCACCAGACTATTAAACCACCAATGCCAGCATGTTTAGTACATATAATATTATTTGTCTCTGTCTGCTATTCTGCAATAATAGTGGGTGGCTGGCGGGTGCTCTAGTGTGGTTTGCTCCTTCTTTCCTATCAAACATCTATTGTCTTTATCTCCCCTCCTTCTTTTTTATGTTTGTTACTTTCTTGTAACCCCTCTAATTTTCGGCACTTATATGACCATTTTGTGTTGTAAGTGCCATAAAACTCTTACTAATACTGAAACTAAGAAGCAATAATAAGCTCCACTGGTTTTGCGTTTGAACGATTCCCTTTTCTACACTTGGTATGTCTCTTTTTTTTTACTTGATTAATTAAATTATCTTTCGTTGATTGTGCAAAAAATGTTCATAATGCCTAGTGCAGCTTAACTGAATGAACAAATTTATCACTATAGTGCCTACCCCACCCAAGAAGGTGAGTAGCGTAATGGGAGGGGCTGGGAACATTGCTGTCCCACGTTTGGTTTCAATTAACTTTATGTTCAATCCAAACTTTTATTTTCACCTAATTTTCTTCTATTTCTCGTGTGTAATATAAATTGCTGAATCGATGTCTGTGTAGATTTGGCTTATAGTGAATTTATGGCTTCCTTTCCCAACATGATTTGATTTACACTTGTTCTCTTGTCAGTGTCTTAAAGTTTGAATAAGTTTTTGCTCCACGCTACATTTTCCGTGAGTAGATTGACCTATCAGTTAGTTGTTCATTGTGCTATTAGGTGTGGGGCTGCAAAGAGTTGATCAGACAGTGGCATAAAAAATGATAATAATTAGGTCAAATTGAGGGATACAGGCTGTCTTTAATTTTCACTGTATTTAAGTCGATAGAAGTAGAAAAATGAAGGAGGAACAGGAGAAGGGTGGGAGGGGAAGACAAGGGGGAGGGAGAAGGGTGGGAGGGGAAGAAAAGGCGGAGGGAGAAGGGTGGGAGAGGAAGAAAAGGTGGAGGGAGAGGAAGAAAAGGTGGAGGGAGAAGGGTGGGAGGGGAAGAAAAGATGGAGGGAGAAGGGTGGGAGAGGAAGAAAAGGTGGAGGGAGAAGGGTGGGAGAGGAAGAAAAGGTGTAGGGAGAGGAAGAAAAGGTGTAGGGAGAAGGGTGGGAGGGGGAGAAAA